GAGGGAGGAAGGCCCACAAATTAACATTTACTAACAATAATAAACCAGACGGCCACGTTAGTTGTACTGTGTCTTAGTTATTACCTTAACACAGCCATACATAATGTTAACTCACCAGGAGGGAAGGAGGAAGGCCCACAAATTAACATTTACTAACAATAATAAACCAGACGACCACGTTAGTTGTACTGTGTCTTAGTTATTACCTTAACACAGCCATACATAATGTTAACTTACCAGGAGGGAGGGAGGAAGGCCCACAAATTAATGTTTACTAACAATAATAAACCAGACGGCCACGTTAGTTGTACTGTGTCTTAGTTATTACCTTAACACAGCCATACATAATGTTAACTTACCAGGAGGGAGGGAGGAAGGCCCACAAATTAACATTTACTAACAATAATAAACCAGGCGGCCACGTTAGTTGTACTGTGTCTTAGTTATTACCTTAACACAGCCATACATAATGTTAACTTACCAGGAGGGAGGGAGGAAGGCCCACAAATTAACATTTACTAACAATAATAAACCAGACGGCCACGTTAGTTGTACTGTGTCTTAGTTATTACCTTAACACAGCCATACATAATGCTAACTTACCAGGAGGGAGGAGGAAGGCCCACAAATTGACATTTACTAACAATAATAAACCAGACAGCCACGTTAGTTGTACTGTGTCTTAGTTATTACGTAACACAGCCATACATAATGTTAACTCACCAGGAGGGAGGAGGAAAGGCCCTGAAATTAACATTTACCTTAATAATAAACCAGATAATACGTTAGTTGTACTGTGTCTTAGTTATTACCTTAACACAGCCATGCATAATGTTAACTCACCAGGAGGGAGGGAGGAAGGCCCACAAATTAACATTTACTAACAATAATAAACCAGACGGCCACGTTAGTTGTACTGTGTCTTAGTTATTACCTTAACACAGCCATACATAATGTTAACTTACCAGGAGGGAGGGAGGAAGGCCCACAAATTAACATTTACTAACAATAATAAACCAGACGGCCACGTTAGTTGTACTGTGTCTTAGTTATTACCTTAACACAGCCATACATAATGTTAACTCACCAGGAGGGAGGGAGGAAGGCCCACAAATTAACATTTACTAACAATAATAAACCAGACGGCCACGTTAGTTGTACTGAGTCTTAGTTATTACCTTAACACAGCCATACATAATGTTAACTTACCAGGAGGGAGGGAGGAAGGCCCACAAATTAACATTTACTAACAATAATAAACCAGACGGCCACGTTAGTTGTACTGTGTCTTAGTTATTACCTTAACACAGCCATACATAATGTTAACTCACCAGGAGGGAGGGAGGAAGGCTCACAAATTAACATTTAGTAACAATAATATACCAGACGGCCACGTTAGTTGTTGTTGATCTGCTTCAACTTGTCCGATTCTCTCTATCTTTCAGTAATTACAACTTTTAATTATTATTACTTTACTAAATAAATTGTAATAATAAATATTACATAATATAAATAAATTATACTAAATTATAATGCTTAATTATTGAATAAATGCCACTTATTGGTAATATATTAATGTTAAACTAAACTTAAGTCTTAGCCACAGAATCAAATATTCGACAGCATTTACAATTCCACCAAAATAAATTAAATAACAAAATATTTTTCCTTTGGTTATTTAAAGTCTATTTACAAATAATTTATTAATATTATAATACTATAATAAGTTATAATGACATAATAAACCGGCTATATTAACTATATAGTAAAATATTAAGATTAATAGAATTTTATACTCCCAAACTAAACAATTATTGAATAATAATTATTAAAAAATTATTAAATATAACAAATAAAGTTAATAATGATTAAATACTAATTATCTTATAAATATTTAATCGCTCTTGAATGATGAGTACCTCTCACTATCATGTCTTGTTGGCCTGATAATCTACTTTCCCGAAAAGTAGAAAAGATAATCTACTTTTCAGGAAAGTAGATAACCAACTTTCCCGGAAAGTAGATATTTCCCATTTTCTATGATACAAATTTCCCGTTTTCTATGATAATCTACTTTGCAAAATTAGGTAATATTTCCCCAAAAAGTCGAAAATCTACTTCCCCTTAAAGTCGATATTCTACTTTATCGAAAAATAGATAATCTTCTCATGGGTAGGTAGGGGGTGGGTGGGTAGGTAGGGGGTGGGTGGGTAGGTAGGGGGTGGGTGGGTAGGTAGGTAGGGGGGTGGGTAGATAGCTAGGTAGGTAGGTAGGCATTGAATTGAATTGAATTGAATTGAATTTAAACAGTTTATTTAGCCAGAAAATCACAAATACAGAGTGGATAATAATAACACTATTAACATGGCTGAGCCAGTTGAGAACCTGAGCTCTCGTTGAGACACCTGATATATACTATACATTTATCTCAAGGAAGTATTATGTAACATTTAGTATCATCTGGAATAGTACAATAGCATGGTGGTAATAAGAACATCTTATAATGTTACCACGGTTGCCTCTGTCTACTCGGCAGTAATTGGGGACCTGGATGTTAATCGATATGCGGAATGTGTTCCGGGTTAATGGTTAGTCAGTGCAGTTGGCGATTTGTCCGGTCTTCTCGGACTATTCCTTGACCCTGGGCTGGGTCATGCAGCTCGTTAACTTAGGGTGTGGTTGTTGTGTTGGCGACAGCTTCTACACCTTAAAACCTTGGGCCGGCCATCCTCTTTACACGAGGTGCAACCATTAGGTAGGTAGGTAGGCCGGGCTCTCGGCATGGAGGTAGGCCAGTAGGTAGGCAGGCCGAGCGTTCGGTAGGAAGGCAGTCTGTCAGGCAAACAGGTAGGCCCCGAGGCAGGCAGGCAGGCGTGATCTACAGAGCTGGAGCTACTGTAGTATGTGGTCTACGGAACTGGTGCTGCTGTCGTATGTGGTCTACAGAGCTGGAACTGTGTCTACCAGGATATTTACACTGTAGTATCCACGAACCTAACATAACCTAGGTTATCTTATGTTAGTGGATGCTACAGTGTAAATATCAAGGTAGACACAACTCCAGCTCTGTAGACTCCATACTACAGTAGCTCCAGCTCTGTAGACTCCATACTACAGTAGCTCCAGCTCTGTAGACTCCATATTACAGTAGCTCCAGCTCTGTAGACTCCATACTACAGTAGCTCTAGCTCTATAGACTGCATACTACAGTAGCTCCAGCTCTGTAGACTGCATACTTCAGTAGCTCCAGCTCTGCAGACTACATACTATAGTAGCTCCCAAATAACAACATAAGCATCTATTTGTAATTTTTTCATTCATGGTGATGTAGCCTCTTGTCATCTGGTGGTACTGGTGATGTAGCCTCTTGTCATCTGGTGGTACTGGTGATGTAGCCTCTTGTCATCTGGTGGTACTGGTGATGTAGCCTCTTGTCATCTGAGGTGGTACTGGTGATGTAGCCTCTTGTCATCTGGTGGTACTGGTGATGTGGCCTCCAGTCATCTGGTGGTACTGGTGATGTAGCCTCTTGTCATCTGGTGGTACTGAGTGATGTAGCCTCAGTCATCTGGTGGTACTGGTGATGTAGCCTCTTGTCATCTGGTGGTACTGGTGATGTAGCCTCAGTCATCTGGTGGTACTGGTGATGTAGCCTCTTGTCATCTGGTGGTACTGGTGATGTAGCCTCAGTCATCTGGTGGTACTGGTGATGTAGCCTCTTGTCATCTGGTGGTACTGGTGATGTAGCCTCTTGTCATCTGGTGGTACTGGTGATGTAGCCTCTTGTCATCTGGTGGTACTGGTGATGTAGCCTCAGTCATCTGGTGGTACTGGTGATGTAGCCTCTTGTCATCTGGTGGTCTGAATCTCCGGGTTCGTGGTGGAGCAGGAGAGGCGACGGGAGTTTGTGGGTGGCTGTATCTTATTTAAAGGGAGTCTTGATCACTGATAAATCTAATATTATTTTTTTAGTCACTGTAAAATGTATTTAAAGATATAAAACTATTCATTAAACTCTCTGACAAAAATTCTTCATCATACAGCTGCTTAGTGTGTTAGATAATGAAGCTGGAGTCATAAGTGTTACCATTAAGAGGAGTTCATCATAGTCATCCCAGGCAAATGATCTTATTAAAGTGATATTCAAAAGGTTCATGGGATTCTTTCATTGACTTCCTAAACCAAATTTATATGTATCTATAGATTCTGTACTATTTTCCCCCTTTAATTTACTTTAGATTTCAATTCGTCATATTGAAGATAGTTTTATTATATGTGATCAAGGGAATTGTTATAATACAGCCTTTTTTATATATCAGCTTTACATAATGTCAAGACAATGCAGTAAATCTAAAACCTTACAGTAATTTTGGTATTTGATGATAATCTTACCATTTACAGTTTTTACTCTCATAATAATAATAATTTTGGGGGATTTCCTTAAAAATATATACAACTTTTATTCTTATAATGATAAAACTTTTTGGGGTAATTCCTCATAAATATTTTCTTGTCCTGCCATTTGCAACTTTTACTCACATAATGATACAGGAAAATAATACTTTTGTGGTTATTCCTCTAAAATATTTCCTTCATTCAGAGTGTGGACGTGGTGAAGGGCGTAGAGAGGAAGCTGGAGGGGAGTCAGGTTCAGTTGGCAAGTGGCGTGAGTGAGCTTAAACAACAGTTGCAGAAGGTTGGTACTGTACCCTGGTGTTGTTTCTTGTTCCTCTGTGATGTATATAACTTTCCCGTGGTTGACTATTGAGTTTATATAATTAGCAGTGTATAATCTGCCTTAGAAGTTATTTTTTAGATAATTTATATACTTACTACCACATAATATGCCCATGCAGAGAAGTGAATATTTTTTTTTCCTAAATTATATCTCTTAAAGGTACAGATATTAAATTACTGTATTTATATATGGTTCTTGCTAACATTAATGTGTTCATGAAAAGAATTTAACTCTTTTTATTGTATACAAATAAATTCCAATTTATGAGAGGGTTGCATTCCTAAAAATAGAGAGATGAATTCAGTTTAATTTATTGTATTTAACCCTTTCAAATGGTAGCCATCACCTGTAGAAATTAGCTGTAGGGACGGCAGCCATCATCTGCAAAAATTTCATGTTCTTTGCGTTCCATTTTTGCACACAGGGGGGAGGGGGGAATCCTCAGCCACCAATTAAAGGTTAAAATTATTTATCATTTGTCAGATGGAGCAGCAAGTGGCGACGATGGCGTCTGCTGTCAGTAATCCCTCACCTGCGGCAAACAACGAAACACATATTCGCAAGCAGAGACTAATACACAGTGGTAAGTGTAAATGACTCTCACTACTATTGAGCTTACCGTGTGTGTGGGTGTGTGAGTGTGTGTTTGTGTATGTATTGTTCACTATGGATTTATGTGTGTATGTGTGTGTGTATGTGTGTGTGTGGCTGTGTGTATGTGTGTGTGTCTGTGTGTATGTGTGTGTTTGTGGGTAAACAATAATTTGGTATCCTGAAATATCAATCTTTGTTATCCTAAATAAATCAAATTCACTCTTACTGCATATATATCAAGACTGACAGCTGTTTGTGCACGTTACAGTGTATCAGATCCCAAGTAGAATGAAAAAAATGTTGAGAGTCACGACTCAGGTAGTGTTTTAAACTCCTTTGATCCTCCTCGTGTATTTCAAACTCCCTTTAGGTGGATTTAGGGGATTCAAGTCATTCTGTCTGCAACACTACACTACCTGCTACCCAGATAGACTCCTTATTCTTGAGTCATGAAATTTGATTGTGGAAGATGTGTTATACGACATAGGGCTTGAATTTAGTGATTAATAGATGGATATCATAAGCCTTGACAGCTGTATATCTCTTATGGTAGGTATTACATAACTTGAGCTTGGATATATCATTTGGAAAAAAGAGATACAATTTAAGGTTTAAAGAGACAGATGAATGTTACATTGTTTGCTTTTCTTCCAGATTCAGGAGCATCAAGGGACAGCAGAGGACCATGATGATGGAGTTTCCGTACTTTTTTGTCAGAACGAACTTTATGTGCCAATAATGCTCTGCTTTTATCCAAAGATGTTTAAGCTATTTTCCTTCTTATGAAGAAGGCAGATGAAGCTTTGCCTTCCCCTCCTGATGTAGTGAAATAGTTGGTATGGACCTCAATGCCTTCTTGTAGAGCTACATTCCAAACTTTAGATATGTAAAAAATGTAGAAATGTGAGCATCAAGACCATTTTCATAGCATAGTTCTACCTGGTACTGTACACCCAGAAGTTTGTACCTGTAAACCATCGACATCATGTACAGGAATTATGTCACCACCATTTTAATGCACAGTTACTTGGAGTAAGGGAAGTACTGTGTTGTAAGTGCAGTATACCAGCTCAATTAAATTGACTTATTAATATTGTTATTCATTTATGTGGATTGAAGAGAAACTGGAAAGTTAACATTAACAAATTATACAGAGTTCAGTCACATGTCCTTCACAGGATGATAAACTGCTACTCTTTGTATTATGTGTTGACAAAAAAACCTTAAGTTCACTAACTAATGTTTATCATGACTTGGTAATTTTATGGTAACACTGTACTGAACCCTAGAACATTTAATCTGCATTGGTCATTTCACCATCATCTGCTCATGTCAGGGAGCCTGTGCAAGCATCCAAGTCACGGCACATCAACACACACACACACACACACACACACACACACACACACACACACACACACACACACACACACACACACACACACACACACACACACACACACACACACACACACACACACACACACACACACACACACACACACACCTCTATTCCATGGTTCTCTTCTTTCTTGTCTCCCAGTTGTTCCAATGTTCATTCTTCCTTTTTCCTTATATATATATATATATATATATATATATATATATATATATATATATATATATATATATATATATATATATATATATATATATATATATTATCATTTTTGTCACCTTGTTACCTGCTATGTGACGTTCATTTATCTTATGGCAGCCATCTTGCTGTGAAAACTTATGTATTGAGTTTTAAATGTTCCTAGAGACAGACTGTTCCTTTATGTACTGTACTGTATTCTCTGTTCCGTACATAAAACACAGATGACTCACCATTTGAGAAACTTTTCAGGACTGACACTAAATTGTTTACTGAGGAAGAGACTTTTTTCATTAATATCATAAATGAAAGAATTATCACAAACTTTTGTTTCATAGTTTGCAAAAATTATCAAATTCTCTCCTCCGTTTGTGTTGTAAATTTATAATATTTTGTTCATATGTTTAGCAATTGTTTTCTCTCATCGTGTGATGCTCTCTTGTTCTTTAAGTAAGTTTCAAAACATTCTTAAGTTATTGTTGTTTCTTATCTGCTTCAACAGTGTTTATTCATAATATTAAGAGCACTTCACCTTTTCTTAGTTTTCATAATTTATATTTTGTCGAATAGAAAATGTTATTAGTAGATTTTCACATAATTTTGTGAGAGGTCGAGTAGGTCCCTCAGTCACATCCACAGGTGAAGCAATTTGTTGTCACATTTACTCAGGCTGAATTCATCTCACCAGTCAGAGTTTTGTACATAACTCGTACACCAAGATCTAGTAACACCAATGACCTATTAGATACCTGTAGTTAGTAAGGTACCAACCAGGATGTCAGTGCAACTGTTAATGGTCTCAAATGTGACTCAGACTCAGAACATCTTACCACTCAAGGTGTTGGACATAACCCGGACTTTCAGATGTAATTACCGAGACTGTACAGGTATATAAGTTAAGAATGTTCGGGACTATCAACCATGACACTTCCACGGCCCATTCTTGCAGGAAGAACTACAGTACTTTGCTATATTCTTCATTCTCCTTCCTAAGTCATTACCCAAACAGTATTTTTTTGAACTGATTTCTCTAAAGAGGAAAGTAAACCAACTCCTTTGTATCTTAAATCTTCCTTTTATTTATTTGTTTCTTTATCAAAGTCTGTACAGTACAATACACCAAGAGGCACCACAACACGACCACTCCCACGCTACTTACTCCTGTCTGTGTCTTCGCTCTACATTTTCTTTAATCACTAATACGTACATTGACGTCAAGGATGTTGATATACTTTTACTTTTACTTTTATCCTCTTCGCCACTGATCGGCTCGCTAGCCGCCCGGGCGATCGGTCACGTCTCTGTCACGCACTGTTGGCAAGTACTGGCATGCACCGGCTCCTGAATGTACCTGAACCCGCTCCAGTGTTGGTCAAGTCTTCTCTTGAAAGAGCTCACACTCGGTGCCGTCACAACACTCTCTGGTAGATTGTTCCAAGAGTTTACAACCCTCACTCCGAAAAAGTTTGCCCTCACGGTTTTCCAGACTTGCGGCTTCTTCAATCTTGAGCTGTGACCCCTTGTGGGGCGAGCGTCTTTTTGCTTCTGGCAATAATCTTAAAAGATGAAATAAGTTTTCCATTCCTAATAATGTACAAGGTGTCCGAAAAGTTCTGCCCAGAAGGGAAAGAGGTTGAAACTCCGACAAAGAGATCTGCAGTTGCATTAAGCCGTACTTCTTCTTTCCCTATGGGCAGAGAGTTTTTGGACATCCCGTATTTTATAACTGTAACAGTAATAATGTTAACTGGTCAATTGTTTTGGAAATAAATTAGTATAAACTCACATTTTATTACAGCTGCAACTTTGTTAAGAAAAACAATATTTTTCTCTCTGTCTGTGTTGTAAGTGTTATTAAATGTGGGGAGAATGTTCATACCTCTGATATATTGTAATAATAATGATAACGGCTTTATTTTGTCCTACAAGTTTGTTGCTAAGAACCGATTTTGAAATTGTTTGCTGTGGTCATGCAAGTTTTATGAATGAAGATGTCTGATGAGGTTTATTATTACTATATGGTTCAGCAGTAATTGCTCAATAATTTTTAATGAGTGACTTTCATAAAGCTCGATATTAGTTGTAACACTTTCAGGCTGAATACTTGTGATAAAAGATCAAATTTGTTATTGTTTGAAATTAATGAAATTCGTATGATATTTTTTTTTTTTTTTTTATCCTCTTCGCCACTGATCGGCTTGTTAGCCGCTTGGGCGATCGGTCACGACTCTTTTCCTTTATATTCTTCACCAAAAGGTCGGCTCGCTAGCCGCCCGGGCGATCGGTCACGTCTCTGTCACGCACTGTTGGCAAATACTGGGCATGCACCGGCTCCTGAATGTACCTGAACCCGCTCCAGTGTTGGTCAAGTCTTCTCTTGAAAGAGCTCACACTCGGTGCCGTCACAACACTCTCTGGTAGATTGTTCCAAGAGTTTACAACCCTCACTCCGAAAAAGTTTGCCCTCACGGTTTTCCGGACTTGCGGCTTCTTCAATCTTGAGCTGTGACCCCTTGTGGGGCGAGCGTCCGCCAGCTCCAAGTAAGGACACTCAACTGAGTAGTGCCCCCTGAGATGCTTATAAACCTCAACTAGGTCCCCCCTTGCCCGTCTGTAGTATAAGCTAGGCAAGTTCAGGCGCTCCAATCTCGCAGGGTAGCTGAGATGCCGAAGTGCAGGCACCAGCTTGGTGGCCCTCCTTTGAACATTTTCAACCAACTGACAGTCCCTAGCATATCTCGGGGACCAGATGGGGTGACAGTACTCCAGATGGGGAAGCACTTCACTCCTGAAGATCGTCACGAGGGACGGACCGTCTAGATATCTGAACGACCTTCTTATAAGACCCAATAATTTATTTGCCTGATTTACCTTCTTCTCACAATGGCCCGAGAACTTCAGCTCATTGTCAACATACACACCTAGGTCCTTCTCACACACAGTCTCAACTAGTACATTTTCTTCATCCCGTTGGGACATATGGTACGCCTCCTTACCGTTGGTACGCCCCAGGTGCATCCTCTTACACTTCGTGACATTGAATCTCAGCAGCCATTCCTTCGACCATTCCTGGAGCCCACAGAGGTCCTTCTGCAGCTCTTCACAGTCCGCTTGGTTCTTAATTTCCCGAAATAACTTGGCGTCATCGGCAAACATTTGTATGGAGGAGTGTACAACGTCAGGCATATCATTTATGAAACAAACAAACAACAGCGGGCCCAATACACTACCCTGCGGTACCCCACTTGTTACAGGTACAGATGACGATTTCGTGCCATTAATCACCACACATTGCTTGCGGTCATGTAGAAAGTCTTCTATCCACGCTAGGACATTTCCCCGAATTCCGTACCCTTCCAGTTTGATTTTCAGCCTTTCGTGGGGTACACTGTCGAAAGCCTTGGCAAAATCTAGGTAAATATTGTCGATATTACCACCCCGTTCTAGAATATGGGTCCAAATATCCAATACCTTGAGCAATTGTGTCAAGCAAGAGCGCCCCGGCATAAAACCGTGTTGGCAATCTTTTACAAGGTTGTTTCGTAGTAGATGTTCCATCGCTGCATCTCTGATAATACTCTCAAGTACTTTACATATTATGCTGGTCAGGCTCACCGGTCTATAGTTGTTCGTGGAGTGCCTATCGCCCTTCTTGAAGATAGGACTCACATAAGCCACTTTCCATTCACTGGGGACCATTTGTTCATCCAGGCATTTACAAAACAGAATCTTCAGGGGCTCTGCAAGCTCGTTGCACAGCTCCCTTAGCACTCTAGGATGCACCATGTCAGGTCCAGGACTCTTATGGACCTTTAGCCTGGACAGTTTATTTCTAATACCCTCTTCTGTGAACACAATGTGGGTCAGTGCTGTGTCGAACCGTCTGTCCTCAAACGCAGGAAGGTTAGTTGCATCCTCTCTTGTGAACACTGAGGAAAAGAAGCTGTTCAATGCCTCAGCTTTATCCTGGTCAGAATCTGCGTAACTACCATCTTCAAGCCTCAGGTCTGATACTCCTACTCGCGTTTTCAATTTCGACTTTGCATAGCGGTAAAACGCCTTTGGGTTTGACTTGACCTCGCGTGCAACCAGCCTTTGGAACTCCTTTTCAGCCCTCCTACACTCTATCTTTGCTTGGTTTCTGGCTCTTGCATACATCCTCCTGTCTTGCTCATCGTTTGACCCAACCCACGTCTTGAATTTCTGGGTTTTCTTCTTAATTTTGTCGACCGCCGCATGGTTCATGTGTAGGGATCCCCTCGTATTCCTAGAAGCACTGGGTTTGGTCTTGGGTATATATTTATCGATCAAATGGGTCATTTTACTAGTTATGATATTCAGCGTAGTGTCTGCGTTCTTGTACCTTAATAAGTCAGGCCAGTTGATACCCCTCATCTCTTCCCTCATCCCATTGTAATTTCCCTTGTAATATTTGCACCTTGGCCTGGCCTTATCTTGAACTAGGTAACAGTTAAATCTGAATGACAACACTGTATGGTGACTGGTGCCAACTGGGGCAAGGTGTTCCAGTTTGGCCACCATACCCTCCTCGTTTGTTATGATGAGGTCAAGTGGCTTGGGTGTTTGTTCCCCTCTGTAATGTGTCGGGTCTCTCACATGTTGGAACAGAAAATTATCTCTCAGAGTTTCTACAAAAAGAGTAGCAGGATTATTCAAGTCATTCGGGGTTGACTCGTTTCTCCAGTCGATGTCGCCATAGTTAAAGTCCCCCATGATAAGGAGGTGGCTGGGGTTGAGCATCGCCGCATTGTTTATTAAGGTTCTTAAGTTCCTTTGATTTAGTGGGC